TATATATATATATATATATATATATATATATATATGTAGATAAAATTAATTAAACTATCATTATTTGATATTTTTAACAGTGTATTCAATTATATCTCTCATAAAGCTATTACTTGTGCTCAAACAAAATGTGATCAAGTATTTTTCTATTTCAGTGAGATTACATCAGGGATTGACTTTATGGCCATTTCTTTTTGTTTTTTATTTTGGATGCTCTTATTAGACATTTATAGGAGGATGTACCTTGGTGTATCATTTTCGCTAATGATATCTTTCTTATGGATAAGACTTGAGAAAGAGTTCAGGAAAACTTGAATTATGGAGGTTTAGATTAGAGTTCAACGACCTTCGTTTGAGTAAATCTAAAACTGAAAATATGGAATACAATTTTAGAAGTAATAGATCTACTGTAGAGTTGTAAGTGTGATCAAATCATTAGAAGAAATGAACCTTTTAGATATCTCGGGCCTATTGTTCAAAGTGATGGTGGTATAGATGGGGATGTAATTAGTAAATTAGTAGAATTCAAGTTGGAATTCAAGTTGGATGGTTGAAGTGGAGGAATGCATCGAGCCTATTGCGTAATAGAAAAGTATCGCTTAGACTTAAAAGAAAAGTTTATAAGATGGTGGTGAGACTAGCAATGCTTTATGGCGCATAATGTTTGTCTTTAAAAGAGAAGCATAAATCTAAGTTAAGTTTTGCTGAGATGAGATGCTAAGTGGATGAGTGGCTTGACACATAGAGATAAAATACGAAATGTTTCCATGAAAGAGTTGGTGTAGCTCTAATGACAGCAAGATTAGAGAGAGTCGTCTTTGATGGTTTGGTCACATTAAATATAGATTATTTGATGGTTCGATTAGCATAGTAGATTCTTTTGATTTGACTTATGTTAAGAAAGGTAGAGGTTGACACAAAAAGACTTAGGCATGTTGTAAAAAAAAAATGATCTTAATTTATTAGAATTATATGTAAATATGACACTAAATAAGACAACGGAGAAAAAGGACTCATGTAGCCGACCTCACTTAATGGGATAAAAGCTTGTTAATTATGTTGTATAACAAGAAAAATTAATTTATATACCGACTTGACAACAAAAAAAAATTTCTTTCCGGACTCCGGATATAACTCTACGTGCGGACTCCAATAATATACCACCAAGTATGTTATATCGCGGAGGTTATTTTGGGATTATTGAAGTGGAATCGCGGAGGTTATTTCGGGATTATTGAAGAAAAACTCATATATTCCACTTCAATAGCCTCGAAATAACATTCACGATATAATAGTTTCACTTCAATAATCCCGAAATAATACCAAGGATGTTATTTTTGGGTTATTTCGGGGTTATTGAAGTGGAATATATAGGTTTCTTTTCAATAACCCCAAAAATAACATCTGCGGTATTATTTCAGGGTTATTGAAGTGGAACCGCGGAGGTTATTTCGGGTTATTTTGGGATTATTGCGGAGTCCACATTACACTTTAATATTTTCTTAGGTGGGTCTGATATAGCACATATGACGGTATATTACTTTGAGTCCGCGCATAGCGCTACATCCGGAGTCTGGACAAAAAAATTTGTCCCATTAACAACACCAGCCTTTTTTGCTGATGAGAACCATCGAAATCTCCTCACAAAATCACAGATTAAAAGTAAGTTGTCATTTTTCTCAGCACGTATAAACGATTACTCTTTATTTTCATCATGCAAGGCCAAAACCACCTGCACGCATCTAATTAACAGACTACGAATTTATTTCTTCTATAAATCCGTAATCATCAGGAATCGCTTTTCGTTTTGGGAGAAATTAGTTGAAAGCTGGATTTAAACTTGTTTTAGGTATGAAGAGGACTTGTGGATTGAAGTGGCCAAGTGCTTGGAGGGCAGAGATTTGATCAGACTAGCAGTGACGTGCAGGTGGTTCTACTCTCTGATCATGGAAGATAGTATCTGGAAGTTTGCTTGTCTCCGTGATCTGCAGGTTCTTTCTCCTCATCACGTGTCCTTCAAGTGGTTTCAGCTGTATGCCTCTGCTTTCGGTGGGTTTATACTTTCTAATTCAGCAAATTGTTTTCTGCAAAATTACATTTGTTTGGTTTGGAGTAATTTGAAGTGAGGAGATACCAATAAGGAGAATTTACAGGCTTACCACTCAATTCTTATGCATTTACAAATATAACGCCTAAACATTACTTTTTCCATTTATACTATAATTTTCATATCACATAAAAGTTATCATCGTTTTAACTTTTTGAAGTGAAATAAAACTTTTCATACAGATAAGGTGGAATGTAAATGTAAAATTGAAGTTTAGGTATTAGATATGTAAATACATAGAAATCATTGACAGGAATCATGGCATGTGTGTAAATCTTCCCTAAAATAATAAATAACGAAAATCAAAATTTACTTATATCCCCTTATTTAATAGAAGAGGAGTTAAGCGAAGAATTTTCTTTTTTTAGAAGAATTTGATGGGAGAATTTAGGGAAAAACTAATAATTTCATTCTTATTTCTCTTTAAAATTAAGAATGAAATTGCTTATGTAATATTATTTGTCTATATTTACTAATTTAATCTAATAAAGTAAGAAAATGAGTTTCAACATAGCCAGATTATAAAGTAAAATAAAAGTTATATTTTGCTTCAATTCCTTCAAACCCAACAGAGCCTAAGATCGTATTGAAACTAACATAAATGGCTTTTATTTCATAGATGGCAGCCATGCCTATTGCTTTCGTCAGAAGGAGAAGCACATCGGTTAGTTCCTGTAACTTGGAGTCTTTGAAGATTTGCTTATGATTGACCTCGTGGTGAAAATAGATTGGATGCGAATTGGTGCATTCTTCTTCGAGACACCTTCGGCGGTGCTCACGGAGAAACTAGCGCTTCCGACCAAACTATCGGAGCTTGAAGAAGACCACAACAGGGCCATCCAACTCAACGGTACCTGCATTCTAACGGATATTAGAACTGGAATATGGATTGCCGGTACAATTTTCTTCCTCTTTATAGCGAAATTTACATACATGCCATACAATTTTTATGTCTTTATGTATATATATATATCTAACATTTTGATATAATAAATCTATACTTAAAAGGTGCTTTCACTTAAGAAAATTAATAATATGTATAAGAATTCAAATGACTGTTCAAAATATTGATAGTAACTAATTATTATAAACATGAGCAAAGATGAATTTTTGGGAGCATATGTGGCCACGGGCCTTCCTTAAAAATTTTAATGTATTTTGTATATATGATAAATATTTATTAAAACATCTTTCCATTTCATGTTTCCCATGGAAATAGTTAATTCTTGCCCTGATGTTTGTAGTAGCATGCACAACGCCCGACTTTTTCGTTGTTGAGGATAAAATATATTGGCATTTACATATATACCAACCAATTCTTCTGTGTGCACGCGTGCTCGCGTTTGTGACATCTAAATTTTATTTTCTATATTTATATCAATCAAATCATTCATAACACATAAAAATATTATTATTTTATCTAATAAAAAGTGAAATACATCTTAGATAAATTAATATATATGAGAAACCAGTTTTAGATATGTTAATACATAAATTTGAGTGATATACATGTAAATCTCCTAAATATAAATGTTCTAGTTGACCTACTACTTCCAAACCAAACAATTTGCGTAAAATGTAAATGTCCTCGTTAACCTACCCGTTCACTAAAACTGTTACTTCGCTTCATAATTAGGTTTCCGAGTGCTGAAATTTGGGAAGGGCTTGGAATTGTTGTCGCCCTCTTTGTTTTTCCAAAAAACATACGATAATAGACAATTTAAATATTTTATCCTTAAATTTTCTTACAGCTAACCATAGATTTCTCATAAATATTTCATAAAACTTTTATTCTTGCATGAGAAACTTTGATTTTATGTTAGGGCAATCAATCATGGGAGAATACATCATCATACAAGTGATTTTATGTTAAGTCTAGTATACATGTATTCTCACATATCTCCCGCCGTGTCCGGATATGCACACACCACACCTAATATTTTCTACCGAATTTAGAGGTAAAAGAAAACATGTATACTAGACTATATAATTTGTAACATAGTTTTAAACATGGTTTAGAAAATTGGATCGAACCGGTTGGTTCGACCGTGAACCCATTGGTGGTCTGTTTTGGGCATGCTTAAAAACCGCCCTTGCATCTTTATATGAGTTTCCAACTTGAAGGAAAGAAATTTGAAAGTGTAAACCACCTAAAGTAGAGTAATAAATGTAGTTAAGGATAAGAAAGGATTACACAAGGATAAAAGTCTCCTCAATGCCAACCGGCAAATTTAGGGATGAGAGGAAGAAATTTTACTCCTTTTAGATTCTATCAATATTTAATTTTTATTTATTACACACACACATATACATACATACATATATATACATATATATA